GGACTAAATCGACCGTGTTACGCCGACTGGTTAATAATGGCGCATTTACAGACATTTCAACAGCGCCGCATGCGAGGTGATCTAATTTTAAGTTTCGCGTATTAAAATTTAATTATGCTGGCCTGTTTCATTTATATTCGGTAAATTATGATAACAGGCTAAGATGTCACCAATTGAAATTAAAAAAGAGCACTATAGGACTAAATACAGACAATATTTTTTAACAAACAGAGTCTTTGAAGTTTGGAACAGCTTGTTCAATGATGTTATAGACTCCACATAGATAAACATGTTTAAAAATAGATTAGACTTCTTTATGAACAATTAATTATCTTCAAAACATATTAATTTGCTATTGTTTACAAGTTATTGTAAATTGTTAGGCTATATAGAACCTAGTTCTCAGCTTTTAATTGTTTTTATTAATAATAATCCCTCTAAAATAGACCTCTTCTAAAATCTTAAATTTATAATAATAATAATAATAAACTTTATTTGCAACTTCCAGTTTTTTATACATATAAAAATATTCAGAAAAAAAGTGCCAAAGAAGGCTGCAAAAAGGACTGGTGAACAGTGGATACTGATCAAAGCACCAGCCCTGAGTATTACCAACGCCACAGGACATCGTACAAAAAACAATATAAAAATAAACACAAATGATAGTGAGAAAAAAAAGTATAAACATTCTAAAAAGTAGCTATCACTCTGCTGTGTCAAGAAGAAACTTTTTGTAAATTTTTTTAAATTTACTTACAGACATTTCTTTAAAATGTTGTGGGATAACCTTGTACATTGCATAAATATTATAAGTGAAAGACCGTCTGAAAATAGCAGTATTATGTATTGGAGGTGAGATACGACCACAAAAACGTAGATTGAGGTTATGAACATCAGAACGATACATTATTTTATTAAAAAGATATGTAGGGGATTTATGTAAAATAACAGAATGAAGCAAATTAGCCGAGTGTAAGTTTCGTCTGGATTGCATATCTAGCCAGTTTGAATCCTTGAGTTTATGAGAGACTCTATCAAATTTCCGTATTCCATAAGAAAATCTTAAACAAGATTTCTGTACTCTCTGAATTCTAATTATGTCTGCGTTATCTAAACAGGGCCCATAAACTGAATCACAAAAGTTAAAATTACTCAGAACCAGGGAATCTGTTAATAACAATTTTGTTGTAGTTGGAAGAACATGTCGATGTGGGTAAAGCATTTTTAAATTCATGTATGCTGTTTGGATGCACTTGTTAGCGTGAAGTTTAAACCTCAAGTCATTATCAATTACTAAACCTAAATTGCGAGCAGATGTGGAAAATGATAAAATATTCCCATCAACTAGAATCTGCATTTCATTTTGTAGTTGATGTCGGTATTTACCAAATAACATTACTACACTCTTAGCTGGATAAATATTAAGTTGATGAATATTTGAAAGTTTAACTAGTCTGTCAAGATCTTCATTAATATGATTATTAGCTTCTAAGGAATCATTATGATTAAAAGAAAATTTAACTTGAGTATCGTCAGCATAAAAAAATGGCTTACCATTCCTAATGCTATTCTCAAAGTTGGAGGTATATAGTGAAAATAATAATGGCCCAAGTATTGATCCCTGAGGAACTCCACAGGAAATCTGCTTAGTATTTGATGAACCTGCATCAGTAACCACAAATTGTTTCCTGTTATACAGGTAGCTATTAAAAAGTCTGATAACATCATTAGAGCAACCAATAAAATGTAATATTGAGAGTAAAATTTTATGATTAATAGTATCAAATGCTTTGGAATAATCTAGCATAACAAGTGCTGCCGTTTTTTTGACATCAATATCCCTAAAGAGATCATCAGTGACATCCAGTAAAGCTGTAGCACAACTATAGCCAGAACGAAAACCTGACTGTCGCAGTGGAAGTATTTGATTATTTTTTAAATGAATATTTAATTGAAATTTCATGATGTTTTCAATCACTTTGGATAACACTGGTAGGATAGAGATGGGACGCAAATCGTTCACACTAGTAACGTTCTTTTTCTTGGGCAAGGGAAAGACTTTTGATAGCTTCCAAGATTCCGGAAAGATGCAATCGGTGAGGCAAACATTTATGATATGTGTAATTATAGGTAAAATTTCAGGACAGCAAAGAAGTAGCATGTGAATATTTAACTGATCCGCTCCCGAAGCTACAGACTTTATTTCGACCAAATACTTATATACGACTGGAGTACTGACAACACTGAATGAAAATATAGAACATAAATTATCCTTTAGGTTATTACTATAGAATTCAATTAGATCAGTGTCTGGTTCTTTATTACGTGCCGACGGACCTAAAAAATGATTATTAATTTCATCTGGCTTATTAAGCTTAATAGGAATCGAATTCATGGGATATTTCGCAGATATATTAAATTCTTTAATTTTTTTCCAAAAAATTTTACCATTACCTTTGGATTTATTTATACAGTATTCTAGATAGGCCTTTTTCTCATTTCTTATAGCAGAAGTTGTAAAATTTTTCAAGTTTTTATAATAATCCCAGTGATTTGGGTTTCTAGTAGATTTATATTTGTTAAATGCCTTATTTCTAAGCTTAATCATCAATTTAACATTATCGGTTAACCAAGGTGGGTTAGGCTTTTTAAATTTAATGGTATGAACTGGCGCTAAGGTATCAAAAATATTTAATATCGTGCTATTAAGATATTCAACCTTATCATCAATGTTATTAAAAGTAATAATATTTTCAAAAGGGGTAAATAGCAGCATTTCTTTTAAAATAACACGATTAATGTTTTTTAAATTTCTAAACTGAAATTCTTTTGGAGGATCAACTGTAATTGTTAAGTTTAGTGTACAATATGTTAATTTATGATCCGAAATATTGAATACTTCCTTTACACCACTATCAATAGGATTTAACTAAATTTAACTAACTTTCATGTGCCACATGAAAATTCTAGGCACTCAGCAACATTCTACTTACCCACTCATAAGACCAATATTTTAAAATATCCTCCTTTACATTTTGTGAATAATAATTGCAGTTAGCATAAAAGATTTTATTAGTTTTAATTGTGCAATAAATGTAATAAAAAAATAGTCTATTCTAAAATTATAAAAATTCGTTTTCAATGTGTGTATGACCCAGGTAAATAACTTTATTTTGAAATAGTTGGCACTTCTTAAGGTGCTATTTCGGTGACGCGGCTGACTGCGGCAGCTAGCAGCTGCGTCTCCAGCCGCTGCACTGGTTTGTACAGTTTCAAATGGAACCAATTTGGCTTGCGCAGCGCGACTAAAGCAGTGGCAGCCCGCGCTGCAGCGGCTGCTGTTCGACTGCTCGCAAAGCAGTCGAGCAGCTGAAATCGTAGTGACTAGGGCAAAAAATGGCACCATTTACGTCAAATGACGATGAAATTTTAATCAACGAAATACAAAAATATCTCGTAATTTATGATTATGAAGACAAAAATTACAAAAATTTTGTTATTAAAGAAAATTGTTGGAAAGAGGCTGCTAAAAAATTAAAAAAAGAAGGTAAGTATTATATTGTAAACAAAATTTATGCTATTTTAATGGTTAAATCAAAATCTGCAAAATGACTTGTAAATTTTAAGCCAGAAAACTGGCGGGAACGCTCCGAATTGTCTGCAAACTATCAGCATCTTTTATATGTGATTAGGAATTTCACTAGAGCTTGTTTACCAGCGATTATTTCACAAGAGCTATTTAACAGCGAATATTTTTTTCGGTTCTTACCTTAATGTCGGAGCCAATTTTTCTTCGGATGTGATGGGATATTAAAACAAAATTTATTCCATGGATTGTAATGTCCTGTTCTATTAGTGACAAAACAAATTGGAATTGATCAGGATTCAATCGGAAAATTCCCTAAACTTTTTTTCATCTTCTTTTAGATGATTATTTATTAATAAATAAAAATAGCCTTCCTCGCGTCGCCTTTAAACATTTCATCTACTTTACACCTTTTTCAAGATAACATTTGGTAAAATTCTTCTTCATCTTCCTCTTCTTCTAATAAAATTAATGTTATCAAATCGTCGTAATCCATATTTTTTAATAAACCCCGCAAATATTTAAAATGACAAAAATGCTACAGTGCGCAGTCAACGGCTGCCTAGAACTGCGTCACCGAAAACATGTTTTGATCGCGGCTACAGCTGCCGCGGCCAGCGTCTCTAGTCGCGCAGCTAGAGCAGCACCACCACCGAAATCGCACCTTTAGGATTTAGCATTAGTTTCGCAGCTTGGAGTCTTTTAAAAACATCTTTTAAGTTCTTTAGATGTTCATCAAAGGTCTTCCCCAAGACTATGATGTCGTCTAAAGACACCAGGCATGTTTTCCAGAATAATCCTCTCAATTCATTTTCCATAAGTCTAAGGTAGATAATAGTTTACTTCCGGCCAATGTGTCCAAAGTATCGTCAGTATCGAGGCAGAAAGTATCTTTTATTATATCCAACCACTGTATTCATATGGTCTTAAAATGGTTTTATACTAAATTTATTTAAAATATGTTTCATAATAAAAAATTATAGGATTTTTTTTTACTATTTAAGCCAAAAAACTCTCAACACCATTGGATTCTTTGTAAATGATACCATTCATTACTCTAATAGATCAAATCCTAAAGAAAGTGGCTCCAATCGTCTGTCAAATATAGGGTGTTTCCCTTTTAATTGAGTCACACTGTAATAATTATAAATGAGCAACAAAATAACTAACCAATTCAAGAGTTATTTAACTTGTCTAAACGAACGCTCTTCTACATACAAAAAAGTCAAGTAGACTAAAATCTAGAGAACCGATGTTTGCTAATAGACAGTTTTAATAGTGTGATATCTTTTTATTGATTTATTTTTAGTTATCTTAAATTTTTGTCATTCATTTTAATTCCAACCCTGTATATACCTCCAATACACAATACTCCATAGTATATTTATAATAGTTTTTGTTTGTTCCATTTTAGCATCAGAATATTACCCCATCAACAAAACACCGGTGCTTTCTTCGTAGCGGTCTTCAAAAAACTGAAACCGACTCGAGAAGAACCAACCAAAATGGAAACGGAGACCGAAGAAGTTTCCGACGGTAATAAAAAACGCGAGCATGACGACAATCTTCCACACAATCAAAGAAAAAAGAGGAAAAAGGACACTTACAGAGAGGATCCTTTCGTATTTTTCAATGAAAACGAACCGGTGTGGAACGACATCAAAAGTTTCTATCAAGTGTCAGATAGTTTCGATTCGAAATGTTTATTGACGAGATGCCACGTTGGAAAGAAGAAGAATATTTATTTGACTTCCGATGCAGTTCGAAATTTGGTAGTGAGTAATCAAGGGACAGTGAAATTTATCAATACTGGAGTTAAGGCGTTCGTCCGATGTGACAATAAGAATATGAAATGTGCATTTAGGTAAGTAATTCTGAGGTAAGAAACCTTAATTTGATATGTCGACACTTTAACAAAATTGAGTTATCACCATCTCTGTGAGATCTAGAAGATGATATAGCTTGATAAGTGAAATTCCAAAAAATAACAAGGTTGCAAGGCATGCCGAAATTTGTGCCCTAGATGCAAAACTAATTTAACGAACGAAAAATCAATTTGAATAAATTAAAAAAAAACTTTGGTAGAAAATTTTATCAATCGCCTTAAAATTTTGGGGCAATTTTGATTCAAATGCCCTATCATAGGTCCCCTTGTATTTTAAAAATATAAGCACTTTTTGAATACAAATAAGAAAAACAAAAGCATTTGGCGAGTTTTGCTCCCAACAGTTTTTTTATAAAAATGTATTGCCAAAAATAGAAGAAGACAAAAACCGACCATATTGGTGAATTAATATTGCATGATTTGATGCTGTAATTTTCAGTAGTATTGTCTTGTTCTGGTCTAAGGATCAAGGTGACTTGAGTAAAGGCTGCTATCAGAGACTCTGGCCGAAAGGCCGCGTGCCTTCAAGACCCTATGTAGCGTTTGACTTTATAGCTGCTTCGAAAAAGTTATCTGTACGAATTTCCTTATAAATTTGTTATGAATGGCTTAACAAATGAATCTGGTTATTTTAAAACACATTAATTCCATTACAAAGTTGTTATTCTCTAATAAATAAATAATCAATTGAGTGTTAATTGCTTTTTAAATTTGGCGCCAAATTCGACTAATTTCATTGGATATTATTAATGTTATGTTATGTTGGGAATGGGGTGTTAATACACTGCGACCTAAAAGATCTATTGTGCCCCCTTCTGTCGCCAATGCACTAAGGAAATGTCTCAATGCCTATAACGACCCTTCCAATCCTATTTTCTCAAGGAAGTGTAGGATTTGAAGTGGCTTCAAGTTAGGTAAATCTCCCTCTTCTATTTGATATCATCCTCGATATAGTGCCCTTGGATTCTGGAGTGCTACACATTCAGTTAGGATGTGAATGGAGGTTTCGTCCTTCTCCTTACAGAATCTGCATTCACTATCCTCTACTACTCTCAGTTTACTTAGGTGTCCTTTTAGTCGGCAATGCCCGGTAAGGATCCCTGTTACAATACGTAACCTGTTCTTGCTCAGGCAGATGCAGGCTTCCGATCTTTTCTGGTTTTATTCACCCAGAAGTATCTTGGCCTGTCTCAGCCACAAGAGATTGTTATGTGGTATGCAAAGCCTAGAAATCAGAAGAAGACATGCACTAGTTCTGTTTCTGTTTAAATTAATTAACGGTAAGATTGACTGTAGCGCCCTTCTACACTTAATTAGCTTTTTGGCACCTACTCGACGTACACGTCATACTTCATTGTTTTTCATCAGAAGACATAGAACCAACTGTGGACAAAGAGCATTTATTGACCGTATGTGCCACATTTACAATAGGCTTTACTCTGACTGTGACCTATTTAACACAACTTTGTATGCGCTAAAGAGTAATTTGAGCTTTAATATTTAAACCTCTTACTATGTATGTGATTTTGTGAATGTGATATTTTTGTGTAGGTATTCTACATATATGTATTAATTGTTATTTTTTTTACTCTGTGTACCATTTAGAATAATAATTCTGTAGTGTACCTATTTGAATAAATAAATAAATAAAATAAAAAAATAAATTGTTCTAGGCATCTTCAGACCATTTTTGAGGTGATTACGTAAGAGCTTAGCGCTTTGATGGCTGCTTGACTATCGGACATGATAATAATCTTTTTTCTGTGATAGTTTCTCTCGATGTTAAACTGGATACACTTTTCGATGGCGTGAATTTCCGCCTGAAAGATGCTTGGGTATTTTCCCAAGCTTTCGGAGTGCTTGGTTCTTGGCCCATATACTTCTATTCCAGTTTCTTCTATGGTTTTGGAACCGTCCGTATACCACTGAATAGCACGTCTTTCGGTTGCAAGCGTGATGGATTCTTGGCTCCATTCTTTTTTGCAGCACAGCTCTGTGGTTTTGATGTTTTTCACAAAACTGTACTTCTTTAGTATTTCATCCTGGGGCATGTCTCAGGTATCTTTAGTCTTGAAGCAAGTAGATTTTCATTCTATAGCGTGTCCTTTTTGCCACATTCTCTATCATCAAATATAGAGGGGTGAGGTTAAAGATCACCTCCATTGCGGCCGTAGGACAGGTTCTCATTGCATCAGTAATGCAAACACAGGCTAGTCTTTGTACTATGAGAATTTCTTCTGATTATTAATTTGGCTCTTGAAAAAAGTAAAATACTATAAAATTATCAAAAAAAAAAAACGTTACATACTTTTAAAAAGTAGAAAGACAAAACATTTCCTCTTCAAAGCTTTTTTATTTTTTGAATATTAAAATCAAAAAGTCATCCCAAGCAGAAAGGTGTACAATGCCATTAGTAGCTTCTATGATTTTCTGTTTAATATCAGCCCAATTGCACCTCCTCAGACGGCTCGACAAATTCCAGCATGTTATCAGTAATGAAGAAAATAACACGCTACATATTATATCCCAAGCAGAAAGGTGTATAATGCTATTTGTGGCTTCTGTGATTTGTTTAAATTGCACCCCCTCAGACAGAGCAAAAGTTAATTGTGGGTAAGGTTTAATAAAACCTTCTCAATTGAAATCTGCAAATAAAATCACAGGATCAATCAATTAATACTAGTTGACATGTAACAAATAAGTGTATTAGAATTACCTGAGGACAACAATACTTAAATACTTAGTCGCTTCCTATGGAATTCCCGTTAAATAGAATTTCTTGATTTTTAGGTTCTTGCTCTGATTGCATTCTTTTGTTATTTCTAGTCTTTGGCCGTACTTTAACAAAAATAAGGAAAAAAGTCTCTAGCAAATTAGTTAACTTATTTTCTCTTCTGTCTTGAGAACTAATTGTAGAAATCTGATTATTTCAACAGTTAGATTTGCCTTGCTGAGTCTTTATTTGAGAATCAATTTGATGTATTCTTCCATATTTTTTAGGTGAGAACCTCATATTTGTTAAGAATTAATTCAAAACCCTGTACTTATTAATTGATTTTTAGAAAAGGTAATACCACTAAAATATGTGTACCTCTAAGCTTCAAAATATACAAAGTGGCTTATTTGTTGGAAAATATTTTATTTTAATAACAGTATAAAAACACCACGAACACCTTCTAATCTAAAATTTTCCAAGTTAAATGTAACTATTTTCTCAGTATTTGATAGTTTCAACACCGTTTTAAGAGATATAATTTTAAATCCGATATTATGCCCAGTTTTCGAGATACAGGGGGATGTTAAAGTGGAGAATTGCTGATTTTAATTACTTTTTTTCCAACTGAAAAGCTAGATTGTCTTTATATAGAATATATAAGTTTAATATAAGTTTTTGTGAGATTTCTATTCCGTTTAAACTATTTGTTACAGGGCGATTTACGAATAAATCACAATATATTTTTGCAAACGCTCAATATTTCTAACGTTGTGTCACAGAGAAATTATTTCATTAAGTTAATAGTTACTTGTTTCCAATTTTGAGTTCAAAAGATTTAGCTATATTTACTTTTTATATAAGCAGAGTCATCCAGACAATCACAAAAAATAATTGTTTTGAAATTATTAAAAAGGGACCTTACATTTCTTTAGTGACTTTTGAGTAAGTTAATAACGTTACATTAGATTTTAAAATACACAGAGTAATCTAATTGTTATATAATTACCTACAAAACGTATCGGTATATACACCATTTTCCTATATTTGGGACAAGTTTTTATACACGAGACAATAAAGTTGCAAAAATATAGCGTGATTTATTCGAGAATCACCTTATAACAGTAAATATTTTTCTCAAAACATAATATTTTTTGTTTTGTCAACAGAATTGCCAACGATGGTCTGGAGAGTATATATCCCTATATAGGTAATGACAGAAAAGTAGATATCCCAAGAGACGATTTAATAATACTTCTAATGAACGATACCCCACAGAAATCGCCGCCAATAGCAAAATTATCCGAATCTGTACAAAAACAAGTTGAAAATTTAAGTACGTACATAGACTTTATATATTTTTTTTTCTTCAATATCTCCGAGTTTAAGACCACAGTACCACCCCCAATATTCGTAACATGAACTAATTTTGATAGATGTCATTTATGTGTCATAAATTAAGAATCCTTTTGTTCAACAGATGGCGTAATAATTTTATTAATTCTAAACGGGAACTGTTATAAAATAAAAAATTCATCACCCCTAGCTAGCTACTACGCGATAATAAGTAAACGAGTTCTTGACCTTCACAAATATTTTCGATGTAGCAGGTATAAAAATAAAAGATTTGGATTAAATTCGACACATCGGTATATTTACTTAGTAGTTCATTCTTGTATACATGGTGTTTCGTTAAGAATGGGACATAGAACAACTGACGATTCTCTGATTAAAAATAAGACAACTAAACAAATCATGCTTAGATAAAATGTTTCTCAGTAACGAATTACGGTGTTAAAATCCAAAAAATATTTATAGCTATATTTTTTTATTACTCACAAAAATTTTACTAAATTTGGCAAACGTTTTTGGTGTCAAATTATCCACCTATCAGCAAAAAAATTAGTTACCTTAATTAACTTTTCCAGTGGCGTACAGTACAGCATTGGTACGTAATACCGCATCCCTTCTAAATTTTACGTCACTATCCAAAATGTTATTTTGACATAAAATTTTAAATTTTTTGATGTTTTTGAAATAAAAAATCGAAATTTAAAAACATCTGAATTTTCAAATATGTGCGAATATCTCAAAAACTAACTCAACTTTAAAAAACATCAAAAGTGGACAGTGGACTAAAATTTAGAAGGAAAAAAGATGTTACTTGCCCATGACGTACGCCACTGGCAAAGCTTATTTAACTTATTTTTTTGCTGATAGGTGTATTTTATTACACCAATAACGTTTGCCGAATTTAGTAAAATTAAACTGAGTAATAAAAAAATTGTAGCTAATCATAATTTTTGATTTTCAACTTTAAAACCCTGTTTTTCGGAAACGAGTAATGTTTTTCCTACGGATGTTTCGTTTATTAGGCTTATTTCTAATTAGTTAATCTTCAGTTGTTCCCATTCTTAATGGAATACCCTGTATATACCGAAAGGTCTTACAGCCAAAGAACCAAATAAAAAAAAGAAAAATGTAATAAAAAAGTGTTTTTATTACCTTATACTCGTATACCCACAACAATTTATTTAGATCTGCATCAGTAAAAATTATTTTTAAAAAATTTAATCTCATTTATATGTAAGTTGGCGGTATCGGCATACGGAAAACTTTTTTAAGAATTTTAAGAAAAACACTTATTTTTCATAAACAATTGCATGGTCTATTTTTTTTTTTTTTTAATTTGGTGTCATCGGCGTCGACTACTACGGTCATTAGCCTCGTGTTCTGTGTAGGCTTTGTTACTGTTTCCCAGCGCCACTTTAGGAACAGCACTGTTAATTAGAACCCAACAGTGAATGGTCGAGTGGGGAATCCTACCAAGGCATCAGAATTAATTTTAAATAATTAAATTAAATGAAAAAATCCCGGCCAACGGTGGGATTCGAACCTGAGACCTTCCGATCTCAAAGTCATGACTCTAACCATTGAGCCAACCCACCCCCCCAGCATGGTCTATTAATTTTAGAAAAAAAGTTACTTTACATGCATTGTCTAAAACCTAAAATTCAATCATCTGATCACAAATTTTATCAGTCATATACAGTGTTGGTCGAAAATAAAGGTATTTTATCTTGAGCAAAATTATATATTTTGACAAACCTTGTAAAACCGACTGATAAAATTTGATATCAAGTGGTTGAATTTTCTGTTAGACCATGCATAAATTTTTATAAAGAATAACTTTTTTTCGTAAAATAAATAATAAAAAAGTTTTCTATTTGCTATCAACTTACATAGACTTATAACATATTGCTGAGCTAATGTTTTTGTAAGAAAAAAAAATTAATCATAAAATTTTACTTCATTTGTAGTCATAATTTATGTTTTCATATTCCTACTTTTTTTATCAATTTAGAACTACAGTATTATTTTCAATTATTAATAAAAATTACGTGTATATTTTAGATTAATCAATAAGAAAAATAAGCATTTTTGAAATATTAATAACTAAATACAAATTAAACAACAAATGAATAAAAAAGCATTTAAAACACGTTGACTGCCGAAGCAAATTGGTCGGGTTTGCCGAGCCGAAGTAGTTTTTCTAAAAATTTAAGTCTGTTTTTACATTTTAAGAGCAAAGTAGTTTAAGTAAATACTTAGGTAAACTACAATATCTAATAGAAGCGTAAATAAATATATAAACGCGGCGCGGGATTAAATTATTACAAACATATGTCGCGTGCATATATTGTGAATAATATATTCAGGTTGTCTTATTAGTGCGTAATTGTTCAATATTTCAATTTGTGTTGTAGACACGTAAACAATTTCTAAATAAAAGTTATATGAATTTCAAAAATAGGTATTTTAAAGATATTTTTAGATATACAGAGTTTTGCGTTTTTGTCTGACAAATAAAACGGTATATTTTTTAAGTAGAAAACCCTGTATTTTAGTTCAGTTTTAGAATGCTTTAGTAATACTGTATTTAACCCTAGAATTTTATTAACAAATATTGCAGGGTTACCAATAAATTAAAATTTAAAATAATTTCAATTTTTTTTAAAAATGTAGTAATAAGATACTAAGATAACGAATAGTGGTAATAGAACAGGATTATTTTATACAGTGTGTTTTGAAAAACAAGTCTTAAATATGGCTAATTCCAAGTTAAATTTATTTAATTTTTTTCAAAAGCCACACCCTGTATATTATTTAAGCATACAATTTCTTATAAATTAACATATCCAACGATACCAATATGTTAGTCAATAACACATATGAGTGCGTAATTGATCGATAGTAGTTTTATAATAGAAAATACAAAAAAAAATTAATATAAAAGTTGTATGACCATATTTAACAATTATTTATAAATATATAGGGTAGTACATAAACGATTGTCTGACCAAACCTATACATTTTTAAAGCAAAACACCCTGTAGGTAGTTATATATATTTGACTGTTTTCACATCGTCGAACAATAATTTCATTTTTATTCATTTGCTATGTTGTAAATAGGGTGTGTCAAAATGGTTACGATTTTCTCAATTTTCTAAATGGAACACCCTGTATGTTATGCCACCAATTAATATAATATTCCATTGAAAAAATTTTAAACATTCGTAACCTCGCGTGTTGACACACCCTATATATAACATAGCAAATGAATGAAGTCAATTAAAATTATTTGACGACGTAAAAACAATCAAAAAATATGATAACTACCTGCAGGGTATTTTGATTTAAAAATGTATAGGTTTGTTCAACATCTCGTTTATGGACCACCCCGTATATATAGGAATAATTTTTAATATGGTCATACAACTTTTATATTAATTTTTTTCTTATTTCTAATAATAAAACAGCTATCGATCAATTACGCACTGATGAGACACTCTGTATATATGTTATTCTCTAACATGTTGGTATCGTTGGATATGCAAATTTATAAGGAATTGTATGCTAAAATATTATATCAAATGCTGCCTTTGAAAAAATTGAGTAATTTGACTTAAAAGTAACCATATTTAAGACATGTTTCAAAACACTCGCTATAAAAGAATCCAGCACTACCGCTACTATTCGTTATCTTAATGTGCTATAAGTCAGTATATTAAACAATTTTGAAATCAATGTAATCCTACCTAAATTATGATAATTTAATTTGGGGTCTGCATCATTTTCTAATTTTATAAAAATTTAATTGCTTGGCAGACCTGTAATATTTTATTAAATTATTCTAGGGTTGAATACAGTATTACCAAACCTTTCTAAAATTGAAATAAAATACATGTTCTATTTTAAAAATATACCAAGCAAAAATGTAGCACCCTGTATATATGTATACACATAGCAGTCAACGTGTTAACTCAGAAATAAGATTCCTTATAAACATAAAATAACATTCAGAAGAAGAAAGCAAAGTACGCAAATATTACGTGCGTATCATACAATGATGCCAGGTCATTCGGATTTAAATTACATCGGAATGCAATAAAGTTCCTTACCTTTCCTGCATTTCACCATTGTATATTTCACCCACTTTAAAATCAAATTCGTCCTAGAAAGAATTGTGAAATTATCGTATAAGGGTGAGATTACAGAACGTCTGCAACTTTGCAGATCTGCAAATATGGCGGCAACTTTGAAAATCTGCAAATATGACTGACTTACACATGCAAGTATCAAGTTTTCGTATTCCAAATTTTGGGTTTAGTGATGTTGGGGGTAATAAACCACAATAAATATTGCGAATTTGCAGATATTTTTTGGAATACTTATATTTGTTAAGTCCGCCATATTTACAAAGTTGCAGATGCAAAGTTTCAGATGCAAAGTTGCAGACGTTCTGTAATCTCACCCTAAATCGATAATCTGGCAACGTGGTCAACACTTGTTCATACACAGGCAAAATCAATCGATAATTTGGAACCAAACGAGACAAATATATATGAAAATCACGAAACAATAAAAGACGACATACAACTGTATCACTGTTTCAAAAATTGGTACCTCTAAACAATCTCTAATTTGACAAATAAATTTATCAAATATTTGTTAATCGTATTTCCAGTTAGATTTGAAAAATACGCAATAAAATTTAGAAATATTTTGGTGGGATACTTGGAAAAATATGTAGAATGAAATCTCCTACTTTTAGCATCTAGTTTTAAAATCACTTTTTATGATTTTTTTTTTAAAATTCAGTGTATAAACAGGACAAATAAAAAATAGGAGATTTCATTCTCCAAACCTTATACTTTAAGCTGGTAGAAGATTCATTTTAATACATTTAGCGGGATTTAAATGTAATCGGAAATGGTGAACCCTTGCTTCTTATATGAAAAATACAGTGATACTGCGGCCTTAAATGATATTGTATTCATTATTTTGTAGGTCCGGGTAGCTGCGTTCTTATTTATAAAGAAGAAACATCGGCTAGTACTCCGCTAGTAATTCATATAAGCGGTTGGAGAGGTACTACTTCGTTAAGATGTTATATGGACAAACATAGTACCGTTCACTTGTTAAGGCTGTTGGGAGGGGACATTTCGAAATATGGTAAGCAAAAAATTACATAAAAATATCCATCTTATTCTATTTATATCACTGCTGAGAAGATCAAATAGCCTTTACATTGAAGAAAACTCATTATTCTTATTTTTATGTTGTCTCATACATTTTTTTATTAATCAATGTATTGTTCCTTTTCTAATTTTAAACTGAAAATGAGTAATAAGTACCGGAATAAAATCCTATGGTAATATTAAAAAGGGTTGCCAACATTGTGCTGATGGTGTTCCAGAGAAAAATAATTTTATCTTGGAAAAAGGGGATAGTTTAATAACCATAAGAAATAACACATAGTCACAGCTATTGACATCCCACATAACATTATATTTATATGCGAGTGATTCTTATCAAATTATTTTTATATGGGAATAATTTTGTGTATAATTTGTCTTACTATATTGTTATTATTGTGTTCTACCACGAGTAGTAAATAAGGATTTTTATTTAAATTAAGGTACTGACCCAAAGAATTTTAATGTAAATCCGGAGTCTCCAAGTCAAATTGACGATGTGACAACCCTAGAATAAATGATCAAGGCGTAAAAATCATACATGATCGGCCATGATGGTTCATTCCATAATGGACATCATCGATCCCGTCCACTGATCTGTATTATTTTACTGGATAGGATATAGGCTATATTTAACATACTAAAAAATCGTTCCACCAAGGAGACCGGAAGTGCAAAAATTCTGGCCGATTTGGGCAAATTATGGTGGGTTCACAGAACTGAAATTTGGGATAATTTGACATACCGAACCTATAATTTGATTAGTTTTTCTTCTTATTCTTCTTCTATTCCTTTTGCGGGCGATGTCCTTCGGGAAATTTCGCCCATGATTTGATTTTTTATGAAAGAAAATATAAAAATGGAAACGTGAATCATATTGTGTCTTCAGGAATGAACGTTTATTGTTTATTTCATACTCTTTTTACTTTGTTTTCCACAATTAAAACATCTCATCGTAGCTTGTTGACACAATTAAATGACAAATGTAATGACAAATGGAAATAGAGGTTACGTTAAATAACATCCGGTCCGCCATATTATTTGCCCAAATCGGCCAATTTTTCGGAACATTTTTTAGGGGGCTATATCCTATCCAGTAAAATAATACAGATCAGTGATCCCGTCATTACATCGTCCACGATCGTCTGTGTTCATTTACTTTCTATCCATTGTTCAAGATAGAACACGATGACCATAAAATTATGAAAAAAATAAGGAAAATGAGATAGAGGATACTATTCATCATAATCTTTGTAATTTTTAAATTTAGGGTTTCAAATGGTTGGTTGGCCTTGATATAGTTCTATAAATTCAAACGTTTGATTCAAATGCAAACTGAGAGATCGGTGATCGTGTGGATACCCAAAAACTGACTTAGCGATCACTGCCAACTATGGCCGAACACCGACAAATAGGCCCTCCCCACAATGTTATTCGCCTATGATGGCCATTTTTTTTTTCATCTTTAAAATTTGTTTCAGACGTGAATAAATTCAAAAAAGCTGAATCGGAAGTACAAAACGAGAATGACAGCGACGCTGACAGCAGTTCGAAAACATAGAGTTTTGATAAGATTAAAATGTATTTTTTTAATTACTAAGTTTTATGTACAGTTGAGGAAATTTTAATTAAAACTGTCTTTTGAAAGTTTGTATTTTTTTAACGATAAACAGAAATGAGAATTTTT